CTAGTGTAATTAATGTTTTGTTTGTGTTTTTACTCTTCCATTTTGCAAGTTCAATAAAATTCTATTCGAAATAGTAATGCATGTGGTCCCTCAGTTTTGTAACGCCATGCATTCTGGTTTTTTGACATACCCCATGACACAACAATTCAAACTTTAATTCAAACTTTGACATTTAATTAATTATAAGAAAAGGTAGCGATTACTGGAAAAACAATTGATATATAAGTAATGCATCATTTAAAGTCTACATGGTACTTTAAAGGAAAAAAGTTTTACGGCTACATTAAATTAGGCTAATATAGTGGAAACCATCCAATATATAAAACTATGTCAATAACTACACGAACTTTATGTTAATACATGTCACATGTACGAAGTAAATAATTATATGGTGGTAACATCACAATCGAATTTAATGATTTTAATCTAAGTTAATAGAGTCAATCCGTAATTTATTAAATTTTAATCCAAATTAACTAAATCTGATCCGACTTACCCCAAGTTATTAAATCCTGATTTCTTCCTTTCCCTTAGTCCAACCTGTGTTCTTCATTTTGCCCCAATTAAAAAAAATTAGGGTTTATAACATAAATCAATTTGGAGGAAAAAGAGATGAGAGATTGAGAGAAAAGAAAATAGTCGCTTAGACAAACAGAGTGAGAATCGACTGCCAACCCTTGAGTAGATAGAATGAGAAAGAAGAGAGTCATTGGAAATAGAGATCTTTATATCGAAAAAGAGTGTAATGGTGAGGTAATCACCTATGAATCCTTGCTTGTTTACTTTGATTAGTGGAATCAATTGATGTCGTTTACCATGTTCTAATGGTATTTTATTGCTAACAGTGATGCAATATCAGTGGAGATAAATTGTTTCCATTCGGGTGAGTTCAAAAATGATGAAAATAGGAAGCTAAATTATGTCGATGATTTGAAACCTCTAAATAGTCCAAAATTTTAGAAAAAATCTGGTGGAGAACGTTTTGAAGAACCTCTTTACAAGAGACCTGGTGGAGAACCGGTAGAGAACATATTAAAAGAGTTGGGTCGGGTCAGAGTTAGTAAAACGGAATTAACTTTCATATATTACGGATTAACCCCAATAAATTAACTTACAATCAGTTAAATCTAATTGTGATGTTGTCACCATATAATTATTTATTTTATACATGTACATATATTAACATAAAATTCATGTAATTGTTGACATATTTTCATACATTGTATGGATTCCACCCTATTAATGTAAATTTCGGGTAACTAGAAAACTTTTTTCCTACTTTATATAGATTTTCTCCTACAACCTTTCTAATATTATAAATAGACTAAGATCTGAAATTCATGTTTGTAAAAACAAATTTCCAAGTTGCAAACGTAAACTTTATATGCAAACAGGTTTTCTTTTCATGGTCATGTTTATTAATTAAATTTTCTAGTTGTAACATATGTTGTGGTTTCTCTAACAGAAACTTTTATCCGGAGTTATTAGCTATACTGGCATAAAGCTTTCTGTTCTGAGAATGGAAGTGTCAAGTTCGAAATTCTGTAGCCTCTGGAAAAGGATTTATCAACCAGTTCTTGTACTTGACCCAAAAAAAATATGGGATTCGGTCCAAAATTTCTTACGATAGAAAAGTAAAAAGATAGAAAATAGATGTAAGGTCGATTCTACTGGGTGGCTTTTAGAGTTCGACAATGTAAGGTCGATTCTACGATATGAATGGCATACACATTTAATAAATGTAATGAATACACACAATAACGAATTGGAAAACATTTACACTATGATAATAATACTATAATTTTCTAAAATGTATACTTAATATATAAAATTTTGGTGAACAACAATTTGGTTGAAAATAGAATAATCAAGGCATTAACTAGGGCCAACAACTTTATAGTGTTTTAGAGCACACCTAGGTACATAGATGCTTCGCGTATATGTATACCCAAAATGGAAGAGGTTATCATAATGTTTGTGTGTAAAAGAACACTGATTTGATCATGATATTAATAATGCATTGAAAACTGTAAATAGTTCTTACGATTAAAAAACACTTTAAATAGTAGAAATATCATATGAGGTATAATAAAGCTCGCAAGAACACTGATTTGATCAATGCGTACTATCAGTAAATATGTTTTATATTGGTTAAGAAATTGGTTTCATGGTTTAAGAGAAATAGTCTAAATTGACACTCAATGTATAAAGGAAACAGAAGTTTAAAGTTCTTGATGGTTCCATGAATTTGCGAAGGGAAACATTCACGTGTATGTTTGATCGAAGGCTGCAGATTTATTTAAAAAATTGTCCTCATGACAAAATGATTAAGATTATATCATTATGGAAAACTAAAAAGAAGATAAGGACAGAAATGAATTCAAGTTTTAATTGGACCAATAATATCACTATAGTACTTGTCGTTTCCACAATTACATTTCAATATTATTTGTTTCATTTCTGTCCTCTTAAAAAGGCAAGGTCGCATCATTGGTCGATGATAGTATTACACATGGGGCTTAAAGACTAACCGTCTAAGTAGGATTAGGCATTTTAAGTGTGCGTTTAGACTTTAATCTTCTATCAAACCTTCACTTTAGTAATGATATTTATAGGTTAGTAAAAAAGAAGAAGCCATATCGAACTTTGGTTGGATTGCTAATTTTCTTGGTCGGAATTCGTATATGTTGCATTGTATTTGTATTGAATTCTTCAAATCTTTAGCGTTATCCTCTCTTTCTTCTGCTTCAACATGAGGTAATATAGTTCATCTCATGTATGAGCATTGCGCCTTATTAGGTCATATGTTTACCATGTTAAAATTTTGTTTTTTTTTTTCAAAATATCAGTTTTATATATATATATATATAATAAATAAATAATATATATATGAATCAGGGTTAGAACATCTCTATCAAAGGTTTAGATGAGGGGTTCACACATTTTTCAACACAAAAAACTATTAAAATAATAAAACCCTATAATTCCCTCTCTGCTAAAGCTCTCTCTAGTGATCCCTCTCTCATGAAGTTCATCATTGTACCGTGGGCTACACGACACGTGGCGGCCCACGATTGGTCTCTTTTTTTTTTTTTTTAAAACAAAAAAGAAAAACAAAAAAATTTAATAATAAAAAAAAAAAGATAGGGGTTCATTGGTGTAGATGCTCTTAGAGTTAGACTACTCCAATCAGAGTTACATCATTACAATGCTGATTTTATCCCCAAAAATACAAGACTTTATAAGTGCACCGTCCAAAAAAAAACTTTAGCGCATTCAAGTCATGCCAATTGAGTATTATTGTTGACTTATTCTTGGGTTCACCCCCTAGGGTGAACCTCTATGTTCACCATCCAATAGGATTGCATTATTTCATATTTGATATCTTTTTAAAAAGGAAAGAAAATCTTATTAGGTTATATTATGTTTTTAAAAATAAAAATAGAAAATAAATAAATAAATAATAAATAAAAACGAAATAATTCTTTTTAAAGAAAATATTTTAGCATTAACCCCTAAACTATAATCACAAACCCTAAATCCATGGTTAAATCATAAATCTTTAGATAAATCCTGTAGTGTTTTAAAAATTTAATATTTATGATTTACCCAAGGGTTTAGGGTTTAGGATTAGAGTTTAGGGTTTAGTGTTTATGATTTACCCAAGGGTTTAGGGTTTAGGATTAGAGTTTAGGGTTTAGTGTTTATGATTTAGTTTAGGGTTTAGGATTAGATTTTAGGGTTTAGTGTTAAAACATTTTTTTTAAAGAACTTTTTTTTTTATAAAAATTATCCAAAGGTTTATGATTTACCTAGGGGTTTAGGGTTTAGGATTAGAGTTTAGGGTTTAGTGTTAAAATATTTTCTTTAAAAAAAGATCATTTTCGTTTTTATTAATTGTTATTATTTTTTATTTATTTTTGTATTTTTATTTTTAAAAACATAATATAATTTAACAAGATTTTGTTTCCTTTTTTTGAAAGATATCAAATATGAAATAGTGAAATCCTATTGGATGATGAACCTAGAGGTTCACCCTAGGGGGTGAACCCGAGAATAACTCATTATTGTTTGACAAATGAGCGAGTATATATATGGATGGTATTGGGTCAAGTCTCATGAAACACTCATTTATTATCTCTAACTTTTTTTTTTGAAAAATTACATTAACATAAATCTTCATATTTATAGAAACAATTTTTTAATTAAAATCTTATTAAATCGTTTACAACCCTCGAAATCTCAAACAGATACTGAAAATATGTGAAAGTATAATTAAAAGAAGAAGGTCACTTACATGTCTAAGTGGTGAAATCAAGTAGGGCTAATACACTTCTTTTTAGTGATTATAATCGTTGCATAAGATCTTCTCGCATGAATTATTACATATCGCTTTTAAATTTCCCCCAACACTTTTGAGTAAGATCCCATTTACTTTGTGTTTCTATTCATTGATGGCGAAATCCTAACAATAAAATTTTCTTATTTCAACTGTTGTGTCAGTGTTATTTTTCTTCCTTTTAGGTATTACACAATATAGTTTTGATACTGTGTTATGATATATCAAGCATGATATTCTCGCATCCATACTCTCTCTTCAGATTATTAAACATTTCATCTTAAATTAGTTCGGTTATCTCACATTAATTCTAATAAGTGGAGAAATGAGATATTTTTGTGGTTATATTTTTCTCTTTTTTTATAAAAGACAATATTTATATAAATTTAGAAGTTTTATGTAAATTAACATTGTTGCTTTTTGACTCAAAATGCGCATATAACAAATATTTATTATTACAACAAATTTGGTCGAAAAGCAAATATATTAACCCATATACAAACTACCATACGTGTGATGTGCACATCCACAACACAAAAGAATCGTAGTTACTTGTATCTTTATAATGTGTATATTGCAACTCTGCAACAAAACTGGGTCATTTACAAGATATACCAATTTGGATCCTATGGCAAGTATGGAAATGTCGCAGTGTCCGAATCTTCCACCAAAAACATGTACATCGGGAGAACCATTACTAAGCAGGCTCAGAGTGATGCAAAAGAGTGGAAAGATAAGGATATTACTTCAAAATCAATCAATCAATAATGGAGTTCAAAGACAACCTTGAGGATTTTGGAAAGAGCCTAGTCAAGGATGGCAAAAAGTGGTAATGTTGATGGATCCTTTGTAAATACCAACACCTAGTCGAGTGAAATGAATAGGTAGAGATGATACCAGCTACTATAGAGGAGCAGAGCAGACTATAGATAGCAATATAGAAAATGATCATAAACTTTAAACACTAAGCCCTAAATCCCTTTGGAATGTGAACTTCTAGTGCAGCATTGTTGGAGTACAACGTATAGTAAGATAAATTTCAAATTAGAGGATTGCAAGAAAGCAAAATATAGATTCTCAACAAAAACACCATTCACTTTTGTGCTTATAATTGGATCTGCGAAGCTAACTGGTTGGAAAATAAGTTTCATAAATTGGATAAGAATAAGGCAGTTGAGATGGCAAAAGAAAATTCCCAATCACAACTTTTCTTGCTGTCATTACTTCGTTCCTGTGCCTGTTTCAAATGTATTAATTATATCATGACTGTCTACTCGCAGTTTGATTAATACAGAAATAAGTTGATAAAAATGTGTTTATTGCACTTCTCAAACTAATTTGAATTGCTGGCTAAATGAATCGATAGAACCGGAAACGTAGAATTCAAAGTGCACCAAATCGAACCGAACCAAACTAGTCCAATTTAAAAATAATTGTTCTTTTTAGAAAAAAAAAATCGAAACTGGATCCTGACAAGTAGCAACTCCTAAAAATTCGACCGTTACATATTTTGCCTTTATTATTGAAAAGGGTCTCTCTCTTTGATTTTTAATTCAAAGCTTTTGCCTCCGCTCCTTTTTTTTTGTTCAATTTGAGATCTCTCCTCCGCCCTCAAATCTTGCCCTCTATGGCGATCGCTACAGAGAAGGTACGATTGTTTCACCTGATGATGATCCCTTCGCTTATATTCTTGGATCTTTTAGATTTGCGTTGCGATGAGATCTGCGATTATCCTTGCGTTGCTTGATTGATTCTCTTTCCGTGTTTTTTCTTTCTTTTTGGTTAAATTTGAATTGAGCGATAATCTTCTTCCCCCTTTTTGTGGTGAATCTGTGTGACATTACGGAGATTAGGGTTTGAAACTTTGTGAATTTTGATGAATTGGTTAGAAAGTTGCTCAATTTCAATGTGGATTTGTCTTTTAGCGATTCAGTATCAACTTATTATGGTAACATCCTTTTTTTACTCTGTTTATTGGACTCTGTGATGATCATCAGGAGGCTTCAGATGGTTCAGCAGTTGCACAAAAGAGATGGAATCTGAGTGATTTCGACATTGGAAAGGCTCTCGGAAGAGGCAAGTTTGGTCACGTTTATCTTGCTCGAGAGAAACGGGTCAGTATCTCCTCTTTTGTTTGGATAAGAATCCAAACCGATAACATTTGTTTACATCTTTACATTGTGTTTTTTTTCACACATGTATACGCAAATGTGAAACAGAGCAACCAGATTGTCGCCCTAAAGGTTCTTTTCAAGACGCAGCTTCAGCAATCTCAAGTTGAGCATCAGCTCAGAAGAGAAGTTGAGATTCAGTCTCATCTTAGGAACCCCAATATACTCCGCCTCTATGGTTACTTCTATGATCAGGTAGAGTTAAATGAATCTTCTTTTTGTTGACAAGATCCACCCTTTTTTGAGCATAACACACTTTGTTGACTTGTTGCAGAAAAGGGTTTATTTGATACTGGAGTATGCTGCTAGAGGTGAGCTTTACAAGGAGCTTCAGAAATGCAAATACTTCAGCGAGAGAAGAGCTGCTACTGTTAGTCCCTTTCTTCCTTCTACTGTTATTAAAACCAAAGCCAAGTCAAACTTTTGTTAGTACGAAACTGAGATCTTTATATGTTTAGTATGTTGCGTCCTTGGCGAGGGCTCTTATCTACTGTCATGGCAAGCATGTGATACACAGAGATATCAAACCAGAAAATCTCTTAATCGGTGCTCAGGTTAGATCAGTTTTTACCATATTGATTTTGGCATGTATCCATTTGATCTGAAACCAGCTTAATAATAATTGTTCATGGACTTAATATCAGGGTGAGCTCAAGATTGCAGACTTTGGTTGGTCAGTGCACACATTTAACCGTAGAAGAACCATGTGTGGCACCCTCGATTACCTTCCTCCTGAGATGGGTAAAGTTGAAGACTTCACTTGAAAGTTTGTTTGGCTATGATATGAATTTACTTTAACAGGACCTTTGGATTCTTTTTTTTTGTAACAGTTGAAAGCGTAGAACATGATGCAAGTGTAGATATCTGGAGCCTAGGGATTCTCTGTTACGAGTTCCTTTATGGCGTACCTCCTTTTGAAGCCATGGAGCACTCTGACACATACAGAAGGTTTGTAATGTTTCTTGTGGGGGTTTGTTTGTTTGTGGTTCGTGATGATTTTGTTAACACAATTTATCTATAACAGGATTGTGCAAGTCGACCTCAAGTTCCCTCCTAAACCAATTGTGTCTGCATCTGCAAAGGATCTAATCAGCCAGGTTTTTATATACTTTCGATCTCTTGTTACATTTTGATGGAAGTAACATTAATGATTGAATCTGCAATCTTACATATTTCTGAACTTTATATTGTATAGATGCTTGTCAAGGAGTCTGCAAAACGTCTGCCACTGCACAAACTTCTTGAGCATCCATGGATTGTGCAGAACGCTGATCCTTCTGGAATCTACAGAGGTTGAAACCAAACAGCTTTATGCCGTCTCTGTTTAACGCTTCAGTTCTTGGCAATCTCTAGCCAAACTGATATCCAGATATGAAAAGAAAAAAAATCATCATTGTGTAGGTGTATGAATCTTCTAAAATCTTTTCCTAATTCAAGTTTCATTGTGTATCCTAAGAAAAAATTATTTGTGTTATTTTACCAATTGATATTCTTCACCACGTATGTATCTATAAAAATGAAAAGCAAAGCATGATTTGTTAGTTTAGTTTCATGAAAAGGGAAGTAAAAGAAACGCTTAAACTCTCGGCTTCTCTTGGTAAATCCATAAGAGACCAAACATCACTTAAAGAAGTGTGTATCTTTAGCAAAAATGTTCACTAGAACAATGCTACTGTCTTACCTACCTGATGCAATAATTTCCATCTGGGCAAAATTAAACAAATGAAGGAATTTGATTCCAAAAATAAACAAAAGAAGGAATAAAACTTTGCCAAAACCTTTTGGCATTAGCCCCTCGCCTCAGTGGTTCAGTAGGACTGTATGAGGGTTCATGAAGCTGGGCTGGTTCGTGGATGACAGCATCCATGCCAACATTCTGTCTATATAATCACAAAGTTTGTTCTGTATATCCATTATTTGAGAGTCAACGATCTAATGGCATAAGTGAAGAGAAATTTACGCTGAAGGGAATGTAGGTGTGCTTTTATTAACAATACCAGAGATGAAGCTAGTATATGAATATTTATATACTTTTATTGGTATATATGTGCCGTACGGCTCGTACCCATTAATTGTTAGTTTTACCGTTTCCCGTCCCGGCCATGTATCTGTCCCTAATCCGTCTCGGTGCAGCATAGCGCCACAGTACACCATGAACTGCTCTCTGGCCAAGGAGAGTAGAGTAAACGTTGTTAGATGCATTGGCTGGAATATAGCTCGAAAAATGTAAGCATGTAATCAATCTTGTTGCAATAAGTTTAATTTTAAGACTCATCTATAGTCCAAACATCTTTAAATAGCTTGTTTCCTGAAGCATCTTGCTGTTCAATGCTCTCTACAACAAGATCTTGTCCTGCACCTTCAGCAATCACTACAACCGTGTGGCCATTTTGAGCCGTTTTGCAATGAACTCATAAAGGATTACTCTCATCAGATAGAAATCAACATACTTTATAAATGATAAAAAGTGAAATCACTACAAAAAAAAACACAAATAAAGCTAGGACGGTTTTTCCTAGTTATTTCTTCGTAAAAGGGGGTTTACGAAAAAATAACGAAAAAACACATTTCATCGTGACACGTTAGTCGTAACTCAACTTTCCTCATTAATTAACGAGGAAAGTTTTCCTCGTAAAGTCGTCTCAAACATTTTTTTCGTAAAAGCCTCGTAGAGTTTTATTCGTTAAAGCCACGTCAGCTTTTCCTCGTAAAATCCACGTAAGTATTTCCTCGTAAAGCCACGTAAAATTTCCTCGTAAATCTTTTCCTCGTTAGTACCACGTAAACATTTCCTCGTAAAATCCTTGTAGGTTTACGGGGAATTTACTTGGAAACCTTATTTTTCCTAAATTATAAATAATAATCAAAATATATAAATAAATTATTTTTTAAAAATTTAAAATTTAAAATTCACATAAAAGAAAAAAAGTAATATATACATAAATATTTAAGTTTAAAAATACAAAAAAGAAACAAAACAACTACGAGTGTTGCTCGTGAAACTGGCGGACGAAGTCTTCACTCCTCGCGGGTTGACTGTGGCTGTGGCGGTGGTGGTGGCGGTGGGTATGGAATCCCTAGTTGTTCTCGCCTGGTACGCAACATCATCTCCAATTGCGGATTTCCAGCCGCCAAAATGTCCAGAAAACCTTCGAGCGAACCCATTTGAGCTTGCGTCGTGCTCAAATCAGAACGCGTCGCATGCAACTCTGAACGCAGCTGAGCAGTCTCATTATCCTGTTCCTGAGCATAAGACGATGTCGCTCTTAAGACACCGTTAATGGAACCAATCCCCACAATACGTCCCTTTTTCTTAGCGACGACGTGTAAATAAAAGACTAATGTTAGTTAATGAAAAAAACATAAATTAAATGAATAATAATAATAAGAAAACAAACTTACCTCCTAAAAAATCTGATCCACGTCAGGTGTGGATAATACGACGGGTGTCCTCAACCACTTGATAAAGTGTTGATCTTTTCTTGTGGTTAACTCAGTTATCGATATACCTGAGATTGCTTTTTCGAGTTGAGTCACAAATTCGCTGTAAAATTATATGTTAATTAACCAATTGAAAATATATAAGTGTGTATGAACGTGATTATATGTTTACCTTTCAAAATAACGAATCAATGGATGTTCGCAATAGAGAAGAATATAAATGTGTGCACTATGGACGCCTTCATCACTCAACCACCAAACCTCCTTCAATTTCCCACCCAATCGCCCAATTTGATAAAAGATGTCTGGAACATCATTTTCCATATATGTCGGCATGACACCACCATCATCATATCTTCTTGGAGCTCGTTTCCTTGTACGTACTTTCGGTACAAAGTAGTACGATTTGAAATGTGATGTTTCTTCCGTCAAACTTCCCGCAACAATAGAACCTTCAAATTTTGCGAGGTTTTTAGTTTTTCCTTTTAAAGTTTTCATAGCCCTTTCATACTGATACATCAATCCGTAATGTACTGGTCCACGAGCAACGCTTCATACGGGAGGTGGACAACTAGGTGCTCCATGACGTCAAAAAATGTTGGCGGAAATAGTTTCTCCAAGTTTCACATTAAGATGGGGATGTTCTCATAAAGTTGTTGAACAACATCCTCTTTAAGAGTGTGTATGCTCAAATCGCTGAAAATGCTCCAATTCGTTATATATTACAAAAATTAAACACATTAGTATAATCATATTTATATGTACATATATATAAAGAAATTAATTAATGCTTGCGTATTATATTACCTGCAAGTGCTTCATGTACTTTTGTTGGTAATAGCTCCGCAAATGCAAAAGGAAGTAGCCGTTGCATAAAGACATGACAATCATGACTCTTCATCGGGAGAAATTTTGACATTTCTCAACACATCTTGAGAAATTTGAAACATATCCATCAGGAAACTTCACTTTTGAAGCCACCCAGTTGAACAACACTGACTTTTTTTCTGATGACAGTCCGAATATCGGAACTGAAACTTGCCCATTGCTTTTTATATGTAACTCACTTCTTGAGCAGATATCGGGTAAGTCCAACCTCGATTTTATGTTGTCTTTCGTCTTCCCTGAGACATTAAATATAGTGTTCACGATGTTCTCAAAAAAATTCTTCTCTATATGCATCACATCGAGGTTGTGGCGCAAAAGAAGATCTTTCCAATATGACAACTCCCAAAATATACTCTTCTTGTGCTAATTGTGTTGAACACCATAAGAATCTGGCATATTACTGGGAACATGTCAATTACACCACGGGAGTTGTTTCTAGTGCACAATAGTAATTGATTTGTGCTTCAGTTTGTTCTCCAGTTAAATATGGAGGAAGAATGTCTCTAACCACCCTTTTGTGTCTAAATAATATCTTGTTTCTTTGGTATGGGTGGTAAAGTTGAAGAAATCGACGATGACAATCGAACCAAGTTGTCTTCCTACCATTGTTCAACTGAAACGCATATGTCATTCCATTACAATATGGACAAGCTAATCTCCCATTTGTAGTTCATCCATACAACATCCCATATGCATGAAAGTCACTTATGGTCCACAAAAGCATCGCTCGCGTCGTAAAATTTATTTTCATTGAACAATCATATGTCATTACCCCTGTTGACCACAAATCTTTCAACTCTTTTATCAGTGATTGTAGAAAAACATCGAGAGATCTTTTTGGATGCTTTGGACCAGGTATTAATATGGTCAAGAATAGAAACTCTCGTTGCATGCACATATCCGGTGGCAGGTTGTACAACGTAAGAAAGACTGGCCACAATGAATATTGTCTCCCAGACATTCCAAATGGACTAAATTCATCAGTGCATAATCCAAGATACACATTCCGGCTATTGCGAGCGAAATGTGGATGTACATTGTTAAAATGTTTTCAAGCTCTTGCATCTGATGGATGAGTCATCTCCCCATCAGTCTGACTATGCTTGGCGTACCATCGCATCCCTCCAGCAGTCTCCTCAGATTGGTACAATCTTTTCATTCTGTCTGTGATTGGTAGGTACCACATCCTTTGGTACGGTATCCTATTCCGTCGTTGTCCTTGCGGTTTGAATCATGGCTTCTTACAGAATCGACATTCTTCTAACTGCTCATCATCTCCCCAGTAAATCATGCAGTTGGCGATGCAAATGTATATCATCTCCAAGGGCAATCCAAGACTATAAACCAATTTCTGAATCTCATAATAAGATTCAGCAGACATATTGTGTTCTGGCAAATACTCTTTAAACAAGTCTGTCCATGCATCCATGCATTTTTCAGGTAGATTGTGATCGGTTTTAATACTCATCATTCTAGCATCTAACGACAATTTAGAGAGACTTTCTCTACAACCACTGTAAATTGGCTCATTCGCAGCTTCTAACATTTCATAAAACTTTTTTGCATCTAAGTTAGATTCTTCAACTTCATCATCATGAGTTACAAATGCATCACCTACCATATCATGAACCCTATCGTAATCTACCATCTGTTCCTTCTGGTGATAACTATTTTCATTATGAAAATGATCAACGACCAGTTCATCCTGAAAATTGATATTACTACTGCTAGCTTCATTTCTATAACTATAATTTTCTCCATGTTGATACCAACTATAGTATTGTGGCATAAAACCTCTATTTATTAAATGCTTCCAAATATTTTCACGAGGGTCTAATTTTGTATTGTTGCATTTCCTATAAAGACAGAATATCTTACCACTTTCCTGTGTGAGTGGTGTATAATCTGCTTGATGCATAAATGTCTCCAACCCTTCAAAAAATTCTTTCGTCACTCTCCCGTTATTATATCTGTGCGTATACATCCACCTCCGTAACTCGAAAATATTTCCAGGACCGGACATTTTTTTCCTTTCAAGCTTATAGCTGATTTTGTTTTGGTGTGTCTGAAATGAATCACAATTATAGAAATTTTTGATTTGGTAGGTGAACATTTACTAGGAATTTTCGAAGAAAAGTTGTTAGAATACACGTTTTTAAATTTAAAATAAACAAGCCTCGTAATTTCCTTATAATATCGCAGTTAATATTTCTTCGTAAACTTCTAGTTCACCTTACGAGGACTTTACGAGGAAACCAAAAAAGCCACATAATTTCCTCGTAAAATTATTAGGACATTTTTGAGAATACACTTTTCTCGACACGTTACGAGGATTTTACGAGAAAACTATGTTTCCGCGTACTTTCCTCGTAATGTCGCCGTTACGAGGAAACATTTTCTTCGTTAATAATCCTAGTTATAAAATCATTTTATTTTAGTGAATCCATCACTCTTAAATGTTGTAAGAGGCCAAACAATCACCGGTTACAAGGATTGATACGAGGACACTCTTCTAAGTCAAAACACTATTTTTCTTGAAATGCTTCAAACACCCCTGAAGGGTATATAAAAACTATCTTTCTAGTCAGAGATAGTGAAACATTCCAAGTGGATAGCTACTTAGTGTCCCATGTAGTAATGGTTCATTTCTTAATAATTTCAACATTCATAGCTCTGTGTATGAAAATAATACCGATATCGAAATATCACAACCAATTTATTATTCCAAAATGTTTTTATACGTACACTCCAAGATATATTTTATATCACGTCCACAGCATATATACAACAAACATTTGATTGGATATGCATATATAGAAGAGAACTACAACTATCTTCTTTCAAAAAGCAAAGAAGAGAACTACAAGCACCCA